CCATCTTATATTAGGAAAACAACCGGGGATTTTAATATATGTTTAACAATGCGATTCTGCACCCATTTGGGTGGAAATCAGCCTGACTAGCTCAGTGGGGATTCCTCCCAGGTATATGGGCCTGCAATTGAGCCCGAGGAACTGGAAAGCTTTCTTACCGAACAAGATTTCGGAAGCTATAAATCTCTTTGTGGAGCAGTTATGAAATAATTGAAGCTTGTGGTTATTATGAAAAGCATGGTAAGAAAGAAGACGTATTGTCGAAGGCTTTCATGGCCAGAATCACTGGGTTGTTGTAGGTTTTTTCGGGCTATATGGCCATGGTCTAGAGGCATTCTAGAATGCCTCTAGACCATGGCCATATAGCCCGAAAAAACCTACAACAACCCAAAAAGGAAGACATTTTCAAATACAGATTTGTAACGGGTAGTATTGTGTAATACCTAAAAGTGCAGACGTAGAGATCTATTTACTTAAAAGTGTAATTTGCACTGACTGATGAACATGACCTGTTTCCCATTTCATGTCACTATATAACTACAAAACAATGTGGTCCTTAAAATCACTGTTGCTGATTTTGTACACCATTTTTCCTCCCTGCATATTTCTGATGTTTAATAATAATAATAATAATAATAATAATAATAATAATAATAATACTTTATTTATACCCCGCTACCATCTCCCCAAGGGGACTCGGGGCAGCTTCCATGAGGCCAAGTCCAACAACACATCAGTAAAAACAAAACAGCAAGCAAATAAAACAATACAATTAATATAACTCACATATAAACAACAACACAGAGAATTTAAAACCTTATAGCCGGGCCAGATGTAATAAATCAAAATTTTTAAAATTAACACTGGGTGTGAACAGAGGTAGGATGCATCTAAGCAGGAGGGTTTTAAAAGATAATGCAGGGAGAGCAACCCAACGGGTAGTAAGTGCTTCTGGGGACAGTTGCAGAGAATTAATCCGAGCAGGGCATTGTTTCCTTATTCAGGGAAGGCACACTGGAACAGCCACATTTTCAAGCTCCTCCTAAACACGGCCAATGTGGGGGCTTGTCTGATATCCTTGGGGAATGAGTTCCAGAGTCAGGGGGGCCACCACAGAGAAGGCCCTCTCCTTCGTCCCCACCAATTGCGCCTGCGAAGGGGGCGGGAGCGAGAGCAGGGCCTCTCCAGATGATTGAAGAGATTGCATGGGTTCATACACAAAAATGCGGCCACGCAGGTAAGAACCTGCACCTTGAATTGGGACCAGAAAATGAACGTTTAGAAAGGCAATGACACCAATCTTTAGGGTGATCATTATTTCAATAATTTTCTACGCTTCAAGGGAAATATCTACACCTCAGTCCAAGTTATTCTTTAGGCACTTGGGGATTTGTTCACTAAATCAGGGAGAGGACATCCTGAAAAAGCATATGAAAGCTTCATGTGTATTATGCATATAGCCCATTAGTTGCACAAATTTTGTAGGAATTGTGCATGGTTTTGCTAGCCTGTCTTCCATATTTCTTTCGTCCGTGCCATGAAATCAGAGGATACCTGTGTAAAACGTATACATTGTAGTAAATATTGTGAACAGAGGGGGTTGAAGTGCTGGTCTGTGGACCAGTCCTGGTGTGCAAGTCATTGACTTCTGGTCTATGGCAGAAAGGAAAGGAAATAAGAAAGGAAAGAAAAGGAGAAAGGAAAGGGAAAAGGCAAAGAAAAGAAAAGAAGAAAAGGAAAAGAAAGGAAAAGACAAGGAAAGGAAAAGAAAAGAAAGAAAAGGAAATAGAAAAGAAAGGAAGGGAAAAAGAAAAGAAAGGAAAAGGAAAGGAAACTGAGGGGGAGGGAAGGGGGGAGGAAAAATGAGGGAGGGAAGGAAAAAAAGGGGAGGAGGAAGGAAGGAAAATAAAGGAGGAGGGAGAGAGGAGGAGGGAAAGGAAAGAAGGAAAGAGAGTTGTAAATGAAACAAATATGATATGAAAAACCCCTATTAGTCTGCCAGACAGCTTGAAGAGATTCACATACATTGCTATAGGGGATTGATGTGCAGAGTCAAAATGATTACATATCCCATCTTAGTGTTTATAAGGGTCCTGTTGAATATGATACATATGTCTAAGACAGGGGTCCTCAAACTTTTTAAACAGAGGGCCAGGTCACAATCTCTCAAACTGTTGGAGGACTGAAAAAAAATGAATCAATTCCTATGCACACTGCACATATCTTATTTGTAGTGCAAAAAACACTTTAAAGCAATGCAATAATTAAAATGAAGAAAATTTTAAACAAATATAAACCTATTAGTATTTCAGTGGGAAGTGTGGGTCTGCATTTGGCTGATGAAGTAAAGTTGTTGTTGTTGTTGTTGTTGTGGCTATTGTGTGCTTTCAAGTCGTTTCAGACTTGGGTTGACCCTGAGCGAGGGCCGGGTAAATGACCTTGGAGGGCCATATCTGGACCCCAGACCTTAGATTGAGGATCCCTGGTCTAAGATATGCACAACAGTGTTTTTATTTTACGTATTTATTTTAAAACTTCAATCCTTTCACTGCGCCAAGCTGTCCTCACCCTCTAAAAACCTTGACCACTGGGCTCACTAAATCCTCTTTCTTAGCCCAAAAGAATCCTGCACATAAGCACTGAAAAAGCTGCCACTCTTTGTCTAGTAAAAAGGAAATGTGATTTCCAAGAGACAAGCTGACTGAAAAGAAATAAATATAAACAAAGCTCCGTTGGGGGACTCCTCGCTCTTTGGTCATCCAGCATGGACAGCATATCCAGGAAGACTTCTGTTTTAATGGGGGCTGGATGTTGGGCTCTCTGAGGCTCTGTCCATGGTGCTGTCTCTACCACTAATTCCAAACATCCGCCAGCCGGGTCGGGAACTATGCTGGAGTCTGACTGCTCTTACCTGCTGTAAAGGTGGTATTCCGAACAGCAAGGCTCAAGTATGTTGCCATCCCACTTGGCGATATCGTGGAGCTGGGGGTTGTCATGGAGTAAAGACTTTCTGTCAAAAATACATAGTATGATTTTACATAGGATTTGTGCTACATTAGAACAGAAAAGACAAATTTCATTTGAGTAAAATAGACATTAAATATTAAATAACCAGAAAGAAAGACGGGGCTTGCTGGAACTTGCCCATCACGAAGGATGGGGCCTTTGTGGCTTGAGAAGCTACTTCCTGAGCCATGAAAGAGGAGCATGTCTCTGAAGCCCAGGTGCTCCCTGACACCTGTTCTGGGTTCGAGTGACAAGAGATCTGGGCCAGGATCTGCCCTGTGGAACCAGCGTGTGGTGATGGCTGCTGGGGCTGCGGTGGTTGCTGCATGACATTCACAGGAGGCACCATGGCGCTGCTCCTGAAGTTCTCCAGAGTTCTCTGAGCTGAACACATTTCCTCCCTTTTTGGAATGAGGATGAGCACCAGTTCATGCGGATGCCGTTGGTCCTGTCCATCTCATTCCCTCAGACTCCTTTCAAGGACAGTTGAAGTATTCCTCCTGCTGGGAAACCAAATTGATCAGCCAAACATTGCTGGTGGAGGATGAGTTGTATGTGGATCGAATCTTCATCAATGATGCCAGTCACTAGACCTCAATTTTTGGAGAGCATTGAAACCCAACGAAAATGAGGAAATTTTCCCTGTGCTGGACACATGAGTCTCAAGAGATGTGATCATCAGGGATTTTATTTTAGAGAACAGCTGAGCAGGTGGTTTGTGAACAAAATACCCACTTCTATGCCACACACACATATATATTAAAAAAAGGGGGGGGGAGGACAAAGCTCCTTTTGGTAACTTTCTTTTGGTGCTTTCTTTAGGCTACAGGAAAACAGTAGCACAATATGTTTCTAAGTGTTAGTACAATCCTTTGGAAACAACTAGAGGAGTTAAAATAGCAGTAATAAATCACAGGACTTTATTAGGGAGCCAGCATGGTGCCATGGATTGAATACTGGACTCTGGGAACAGAGTTTGAAGGTCTGCTGGGCCAAGGAAACTTAATGGATGACTTTAGGCAAGTCATCCTCTTAGCCACAGAGGAGGGCAGGAGTGGCTCCTGTTTGAACAAACCTTGCAAAGAAAACCGCATGATCGGCTTACCTTAAGATTGCCATAAGTTAGAAATGGTTTGGGCAAATAGAAGGATGTTTCAGGACCCACATAGTATGTGTGACTGCTCCATGCAACAACAACTTATCCTATCTTATCCAACAGATGTGTTTGTGCTGATGTGTATTGAAAAGGTTTTTTGTTTTTCGTGTCAGAAGCAACTTGAGAAATTGCAAGTCACTTCTGGTGTGAGAGAATTGGCTGTGTGCAAGGAAGTTGCCTAGGGAATGCCCGGATGATTTATCATCATGTGGGAGGCTTCTCTCATGTCTCTGCATTGGAAGCTAGAGCTGAAATGGGAGCTCAACCCACTCCCCAGATTCTAACCTCTGACCCTTTGGTCAGCTGCCGACACAAGGGTTTAACCCAGGGGTCCACAAACATTTTAAACAGAGGGCCAGGTCACAGTCTCTCAAATTGTTGGAGGGCCAGATTATAATTTTTTTTAAAATGAATGAATTCCTATGCACACTGCACATATCTTAATTGTAGTGCAAAAATACTTAAAAATACAATAATTAAAATGAACAATTTTAATAAATATAAACTTATTAGTATTTCAATGGGAAGTGTGGGCCTGCTTTTGGCTGATGAAGTAGAGTTGTTGTTGTGGCTATTGTGTGCTTTCAAGTCGTTTCAGACTTAGGTTGACCCTGAGCGAGGGCCAGGTAAATGACTTTGGAGGGCCATATCCGGCCCCCAGGGCCTTAGTTTGAGGACCCCTGGTTTAACCCATTGCATCACTGGCAGCGGAAGCAGAAAGTCCCTAGGATCATCCAATAGTACTCGAGGTGCCCCTGCACAAACCCCCCACCAGAAGAAAACAAGTGCATGCAATTTTGCAAGGCTATCTATGAGTAAGACACCCACCAAGTAGTAGTTCATTAGGTTTTCTCTATTTTATTAATAAAACAGATTTTTGCAACAATTTATTAAAAATCGATTTTCATGCAGTATAAGGGGTATACAAGAAATTCTCCACGTACTTTCTTTTTCTCCTTCTCTTGCTTTTTTTTAAAAATAATTCTGACAGTTCCAGTCTAGGTTAAAGCTTTTGTGCACTAACTTGGTTGGAAAATGCCACTGGGGCACAGCCTCCTTGTAATTTTTTACAGTACATTTTTGCTGCAGTAGAAAAAGAACAGAAACATTAAATAGCTATAGTCACTTTGTGGGTCTTATTTTCTGCAGGAAATTTTTAAAAAAATGTTGTGGGAAGAACTACAGTTGCATTTGAGACAAAGAATGTACTGCATGATTTAAACCTAAGAAACAGCACACAGTCAGTATTCACAAAGAGTTACAGACACACACTCACCGCCAACAGTCCAATACTTTTGAATTTTTTTTGTTTTTGTTTCCTGCTATGTTGGAATAATATTTTCTACAGAAATGTTTGTGTATACATTATATACAGTATTATTGTCCTTTTTGAAAAGTAATATTTATTTGTATTAAATAAAGTCCTGATGGAGTTTATTAATAAATTAAGAGAATACTTCAACACACCCACGCAGCCACACGCCCTCACTCGCACACACACACACCAGACAACACCTTCGGTGGTTAGTGCTCAAACAGAGTAATGTGTTCTACCTCCTGCATGGTAGACGTAGGGTCAACCCAACACTTTCGGATGCCTCCATGACCCCTCAGTGATATGTGTTCAGGGACAAGTTCTGTGATGCCCCCAAGTGGACTACAATTTATGGGTAATATACTCAAACAAGATGGGATCAGGGACATCTACAGGGACTCACTTGGTACTTCTCTCTTCGTGCGGATACCAAATGCTGCACTGGGACACGAGAGGAACAGAAGGTTCTTTCCTGTTGTGTAAGAGAGGACAGTGCAGACGTAAATGCCACCCCCCTCCACCATGCCTTATCTCAAAAACGTTACTTAATTCATACAGGATTTTAGAAAAGGCAGCCAGTATTGCCAAAGTTCAGCAGTCTTGCATGCCAACTTGGCCATCAGTTAAGAGCGCCAAGAATGGAGATAGCAGCCTGTGGTATTTAAGGAAGGTGAAGGCTGTATGAGAGAAGTAATTCTGTTTCTCTTTTCCCACTGTGATTCCTGGGCCTAAACACAACTCATGTAATTTATAGGCCGATTGTATCGGTGGGTCCTTTTCCTAGATCAATGCTTCTCATATGCTGGCCATTCAGAAGCATAGTCGCAAAAGGTTGCCCCAAAATCATAAGCTAGCCATTTGGAAGCACAGTCACAGAATCTGACATTGAAATCCTGTAACTAGAAGGGAATTCGGCTGTACTTCTCTGGTCTTCCCATGTTGAATGCACAACCTTGGATTGTGAGCAAACTGGAGTAGCACTAGACAGCAGTAAGAATTTCACATGATGTGCCAACTCTCAACAAGGCAGCACAACGCCCAGAGTGAAGTGTGTCCACTGAAATTCTTTGTGCCAGGTAGTTGTACAAAGCATGAGTGCCCCTTTTTGGATCATGCATGCACAAAAGTCTTAGTTTCCCACGGGCATGCGCAGAATCACTAGCACATAAGTAGCACATGCTTGAATCAGACCTTATCGGTAAGTGATAGAACTGCTTGGACATTTTGTATGAGCGCATTAATCTCCAATAGTGCGTCGCTCTCCAATAGCAATTCAGCCGCTCAGAGAAGAAGATTAAATTCCAATTTCTTGGGGGCAAAAAGAGATTAAACCAATGTTCATCTTTTTTTTTGTTTTCCAATTCAAAAGGCAAAGGGATTTTTCCTCATACAGGCACACTTGATTTGGACTCTCTTATTCTCAACTACCACTGTCACACACGCAAAGATATGAAGCAAAGGTTGTGTATATACGGTCAATGCCTCTGCAGCAGTGTGGCATCTATGTGTCCCATCCCTACATGTCCTCCTTCAAATTAACTGCACTGTGGTTTAAATCAAACTTGGGGAGGAGTTATAATTCTTCCTAAGATATCAAGACCCACCCGAAGCCTTGTGTACTGTCAGACCTCAGTTTCTGCCATCACTCTGGGACTCTGCCAAATCCTATGTCTTAGCAAGAAGGAGGAGTGTCTGCTCTCTGGCCACCCACTTGTGAGATTTTGCCCCTAGACCTACTTCCTCCTTGAAACCTCGATTCCAAGCATGTCTTAAGAGAAGAGGAACTGAGATGAACTCATCTCAATCACAGCTAAGAAAGGGTTTCTCAAAGAACAAAGTCCCAAAAATGAAGGTCAGCGCAATCCTGCAAAACAAAGTATCCATTTCCATTGATAGAGATCTCTGCTGATGGGATTTCTTCCTTTCCCCCTATTTTTTGCACATTATTATTCCACATTTTCCGTAGCCATATAAAGCATAGTGACACTTGAAGGAGGTCCTTTTTTGTTTATGTTTTTTTGTCAAGTTTATGTTTCCAGCCACCTTGCCTCCGGGAGCAATTTGGGAAGGACCATGGTTTGGTGACTTTCTCAGTGAAGAAATAAAAATGTCCGCAAGTAAGGCTACAGCTCAACCTCTGGGTAACCGTCTCCGCTTTGCATGCTTTCCGCACAGCAGTGGAGCTGGTCCTCCATTGACGATGGCCTTATAACACTAGTTCCTCTGTGATTAGAGTAAGGAGTATGTAGAAGGCAAGAGTTCAACACAAGACGTTCAGTCCAGCCATTAAGTACCAAAATCAGTTCAGGAAGCTCTGAATACCCTCCTACAGGCCAGAAACCATCACACGAAAAGATGGCGGCACGTGTCTGTGCCGTGGACTGGCACTGGGGCTGACGCATGGACTAGCACAACTGGCATCGACCCCGCCTATTGACGGCAAGTAGGCATGGTGAAGAATGGGCAGCTGTAAGGAGAGTCGGCGCTGTATGCTGCAAAGACAGAGAGGGAAATAGCAAGGACAGTTAGCTCAGATGTTGACAAAGCATCCTTCATTTCTCCATGCATTTGCTATGATCCGGTCAACAATCATAACTTTGGTGAAAGGCCAAAGGTTGTAGCCATCGGACAGATTCCTTCCCAAATGAATTCCTCTGCAAACCCTGGTCCTTCACTTTGAATTTCTTTTCTTTAGCTCATTTGCAGAATCAAGGTGTATTTACCTGTTGGCCACCCAAAGGTCCAGTAAAATCAACCGTATTAATACGGGGGCAGAACAGTATACATAAAAAATTCAATAAAATAGATAAGGAAATAGGATTTATGCAGGAAAAAAACTTCTGGGACAAAATAATGAAATCGGAGAAAAAAACATAACTAAGATATACAATTTTTTTTAGAATGGACAGTGGAATCAAAGGAAGAAAAGAACTATATGAAATGATGGAAAGAAAATATAGGAAGAACTACAGGGTGAGGCAGCATAACTTCCTTTTTTTAAAATGCGCACCATTCAGTCGGTTGAAGACGTAGTGGAGCGCTAGTGGTCTCATTCGAGAGGCGGGAGTATAAAGTTTTGTCCTGACACAGTTCAGTCACCATCATGCGTTGGAACAGTGAGGAGCGTGCTTTTGCCATTGAGGCCTACGTTTCGAGCGGATTTGGAGTGGCTGGCCCGCTCTCCAGATTTGGCCCCTTGTGATTTTTTTCTATGGGTTTTTTTTGAAATCCCATGTTTATGTGAACCATCCAAGGACCCTACAAGATTTGAAGACCAACATCTAGGAAGAAATTGCCAACATAACGCCTGCTATGCTGGCAAGAGTCATGACAAACACCAGAAATCGTTTTACTCAGTATATGGAGAATGGGGGATGTCACCTACTTAATTTGATCTTCAAAACTACGTAAAACAAAACTTTAGGTATGCGCCTACATTATAAAAAAAATTCTTATTCATACAATGGGTTTTATTAAGTTTTGAAAAAAGGAAGTTATGCTGCCTCACCCTGTATTAGACAAGAAGAATGGGAGGAAATATGGAGGAAAAAAATAAAATACATATATGCAACTGATTTGAAAGAAAATTGGATAAAGACATCACACAGGTGGTACATGACCCCAAAGAAAATTGGAAAAAGTTACAGCAACACAACACAGTTTGTTGGAAATGTAAAGAAAAGGAAGGGTAATATTTCCACATGTGGTGGACCTGTGACAGAGCAATAAATATAAAAATATTAGAGATTCAGATTCCCTGGAAAACAGAAATAGTTCTACTAGGAATACACGAGATATAACTAGAAAAAAATATGGACAAATTACTATTTTTGATGACAACGGCTGCAAAAATATGTTATGCAAGAACGTGGAAACAAAAAGAAATACCGGACGAAGACGAGTGGATGACAAAGATACTAGAGATTAGAAATATGGATAGGCTCAGTTTCCTCATGTCAAAGAAAAAAGGAATAAATATGAACGAAACAGACTGGAAAAAAGTTACAGAATACTTTAAACAAAGAAACAAGAAGATTTTGATTTAGGATAAAGGAATTGGAAAGCACACAAAAAAGTATATAAAAAAGAAAGAGAGAAGAAAACAAGAAAGGGGAAGAGGAAGGATGAAGAAAAGAAACTGAAAGGGCCTCAGGTAGATACCAGGAAGTCAAAATATTTATTGTTTTACTGTTTTATTACTTACATCACCAACATAGACTTATCAATTTATAAATTTATCTATTTACTATTTTTTCTTGTTTCTTTCCTAGTTCCCTTCTCTCTATTTTCATTTCTAAACACATGTCACTTTAGCAGAAACAAACCAAAGCTATCTTATTGATTTATGTTTTTTGTTGTTTTGTGACTCTTTTAAATTATAAACTCTAATAAAGATTATTTTAAAAAATAAAACATTCAACAGAAACACCATCATGCTTGAAAATTAGAACTCTAGAGATGAATGGAGCAGCATGAGCAAGAACTCAAATCAGTATTTGTTGTTTTTTTTTACAGTCACCATAAATATGCATGTGTTCAAATGATTAAAAATTAAAAATATGATTGGAAAGTCCAAAAGCAAACTGATAACTTTTATCTCTTATCTTACAGGATTTTCTTGGCACGTTATGTCAATTGAAAACCGCAAAAGTTTCCCAGGATCAAAAATCCCAAATTGAAAGCTTTGTTCTTGTGGATATGCAATGAACAAAACCATGGCACTTACTGTTCTGGGGAGTTGATATCTTCTATAAAGTCTTTGTTTGTTCTAGAAGACTCTGTTGTATCCCACTGTGCTTGTGGATTTTGATCAAGGTGGTTTTTCAACACGGCCTTTTCACCATCTAGGTAAAGGAGAACCATCATCACTAAAAGCTGAAAAACCTAACTTTTTTTCCTAACTGCTTGCAACTTCTTAAGGGTCCTTATTCTGAAACCAGCGATAATGATGTGGCTGGGTGAGCAATCTGGACCTTCCACAAGGTTCTGGACTAAAACTCTCATAAGACATCAATGTAAACAATTGTCATAGGTTTTATCTAAAAATCTGGAGGACACCAAGTTGCCTATTCTAGTTTATATTCCAATTTTAATGAGTTATTTCTGTTAAATCTGCCTGTTTTACCCTTCATAATCCATGTTCATATTACTGGCCAAGATGTATTACCTAGCTCCCGAGCCTTGCCTCTTCCTTACTTCTACTCCGCATTTGGAAAATACAAATTTTCAGTAATCTCTCTCCTTCTCTTTATTTTATGTTTAAAGAAAATGGATATTAACACATCTTTGCAGAGGGACTCAGACCGGCTTCCAAACCGACAACAATTTGATGCCAAAGATAATATAAAACACACAATAAAGACATCCACAAAATTAAAATAATTCTAAATATACATTAAGAACCTGCTCACCAGATTAAAATCACCAGAATTAAAATCGTCGTCCAAATTTGTCCAATTGTGCTCGGAAATGGACCAGCAGCCAGTGGAGCTGACACAACAGGGGGGTGGTGTGCTCCCTGTATGTCACTACATTGGATGAACTGTAGTTCCCCTTGTTTTATTTATTTTGCTTCAAAAGCATTGCATAAATAAGTATAAATTCCCCTTATTGCCCTCTCCACTATTAAGCAGCAACACTATATCTTGGGGTTTGAGAGCTGTGTGTTGGGGGAAAGCTTTGGATGTTGCCTAAACGGCTGCAGAACAGTCGGGGGGGGGGGGGATTACACACATATGAACCCCTCTTACATATACACATTTTATTAACAGGATTCTGGCCAGTGAGAGTTCAACTCTCAGACTGTGGCTGGAAACAAAAGTTTGTGATGCGTTTGATATGGGCGCATTGCCATTTGCCTGTGTGCCAGAATTTTGATAATTTAGTGGGYCTTCTTTATCTGGGACAACCTTGCATGAAAATCAAAGGCCCATTCCTCCCCCCRRCCTSACCCCCTAAAACTATTTCRAGGAGCATTGTCTATTTTAATGCATATTCAAAGTATTTTTTACAAAGACTCCTGTCACTGATTACCCCATTAAAAAGGTTTGAGTAATCCAAACAATCACTTAAAAATTCTTTTTCATTTGCTTGAATCAAAAACAAGGTATGAGAAGGAGTTGGGAGACCTGTTTTTTTTCAAATGGTCTTATTAAAAAAAGCCTCAGTGAGGTCAACTGAAAAAACCGGAAGCTATTCAAAGCTTTCAAAAGTGGAAGTAGGATGGTGAATGTACCAACTTGCTTTGCATACCATCCAAAAGGGGGGAATTGCAAGAACTGATGATTGCTGCATTTACTTAGGCAATCCCTTGTTGTCTAAGTAGGATAGTCTACCAGGATCAGTGGGTCCATAGGTGACTGTGGAGGCCTATTCTTGATCTGCATCTTCTCCCACAGTGAGGGCATTGGTTTCCAGGTGGAAGACGGTCTTGGTCGGGCTTGTTGCACCTTCCTCTTGGCACGTTTCTCTCTTTCACCCTCCATTCATGCCTCTTCAAATTCTACAGCACTGCTGGTTACAGCTGACCTCCAGCTGGAGCACTCAAGGGCCAGGGCATCCCAGTTCTCAGTGTCTATGCCAGAGTTTTTAAGGTTGGCTTTGAGCCCATCTTTAAATCTCTTTTCCTGCCCATGCGAGCAAGATTTTGTAGATTCTTGAAATTGTTTTATTTTTGGATATCAGAATCTTATCCCAAGCTTTTTCTTCTTCTTCGAAACCAATTTTCTTATCTCTATGAAATGCCTCTTTTAATTGTCTATACTGTCTATACTGAAACCATGATAGGTCATGGTAGGTTCCTTTAAAGTGGATCCATTAACTTGTTTTGTTAAGAATTCCTTGTATCTAGGCCAAATTTCCCATCCCAGTTCACGTCTCAAGGGGAGAGATTTGGTGGTCATGTAATAAATTTTGAAAAATAAATTCATCTGGCAATAGAAAAGATTATTGGCCAACCCGTAGAATTAAAACTAAAATACTTTTTATTAGGAATGGTGGATTTCAACATGGATAAAAATAGGGAAAAACTATTCAGTTACTTGACTACAGCTGCAAGAATCATATATGCGAAAAAATGGAAAGAGAAAGACACACCAAGCATTGAAGATTGGATATTGAAAGTGTCAGACATTATGAATATGGACTGCCTTACACACAAAAAAAGAGGAGACTGACTGGACCACAGCTATGAACTTTATAAAGGAAAGAATCTGATAGGAGAGAGTAAAGACACAGGGGCAGAAAACAAAGAAAAAGACATGGGAATACCCTCACCCAAAGGAAGAGAAAAGGAAGACCACAAGTGTCCCCCATTTACCAATCCCGCACCTTAGGCTTTAGACCTTTTTTCCCCTCTCCCCTGCCCCGTCTTGATCCTATCACTTATATGTTAACAAAAACCTAATAATAATAATAATAATAATAATAATAATAATAATAATAATATTTAAATCTCTTTTCCTGTCCACCAACATTCCATTTTCCGTTCTTGAGTTCGGAGTAGAGCAACTGCTTTGGAAGACGGTGGTCAGGCATCCAGACAACATGGCTGGTCCAGCGGAGTTGATGGCTGAGGACCATGGCTTCAATGCTTCTTCCAGCACGCTGACATTTGTCCCCTTGTCTTCCCAAGAGCTTTGCAGGATTTTCCGGAGGCAGCACTGATGAAATTGTTGGAGTTATAGACAGTCCACCTTTCGCAGGCATATAGCAGGGTTGGGAGGACAGTAGCTTTCTAAACAAGCACCTTGGTCTCTTTATGGATGTCCCAGTCCTCAAACACTTTCTGCTTCATTCGGAAAAAAGCTGCACTCACAGAGCTCAGGTCGTGTTGTATTTCAGTGTCAATGTTGACTTTTGTGGAGAGGTGGCTGCCAAGGTAGTGGAAATGATCAACGTTTTTTAATGTTACACCATTGCTGCATAGCAAACCCTTGTTAGCTTAATCCTAACATGATGTTTCTCAAGCTGTTTCCCTCCTGAACGGACATAATAAAACATCTGAGGAAGAGGGAGAACAGAGACTATTAAGAAGGGGCAGTTGGAACCATATCCTCATCTTCAGGCAAAATGTAAGTGGGCTGAAGACCACTATAACAGAAGGTCATCCATGTTAGATTTGTATGACTCTATCCCTGTTATTCTACTAGCTTTGCCAAATTTGCAAAGAGGGTTGCTTAAGAAGAGCTGCTAGCTTTCTTCCAAATATAGATTCCCCTCTTTCAAAATAGGTGACATATTTTGTCCTGTCTCATTTCTCATGCCAAATTAGTCATTGTCCTATCCCTGTTATCCAGTTCAATATCCTGGCACATAGCAAGAGGAGGCTGTGCGTACATCGAAATGTCTGGAAGCTAACTTGTGGCATAGACCACTGGGACAAAGATGTGAGCAGAAGGTCGCCTAAATTGTGGGAATGTGGGAGAGGTAGCATTCAAAGCAGTAAGAAAGACTGCTCTAAGGGCTGGAAGTTTAGCACAGCTGGTAAATCAACAATTATAAGATCTATCAACCAAAAGATTGCAAGTTCGAAGCCCCGGGTTGGCGTGTGCTGCCAACTGTCAGCCTAGCTCATTGTTTACCTAAGCAATTCGAAAACAGCTTTAGCTGTGATTAGAGAAATTAGGTATCGCTAAAAGCGGGGAGGTCTTTTACAATGCCATAAAAGAAAAAAGATCAGAAAATGCTGGGTGACCAAAAGGAAGGAGGAAGTCCTGACAACTCTTTGTCATAGAGGATAGAGCAACAGCACCCCCTGGACTTGAGCCCAACCTTCCATGGCACCAAAAACAGCTGAAACAAACCACCTCTTTCTGTTCTGTCTGTCTGTGTATTGTCTATATAAAGCAGCATTGAATGTTTTCTGTGTATATGTACTGTAAGCTGCCCAGAGTCCCCTTCGGGGTGAGAAGGATGGAATAATAATAATAATAATAATAATAATAATAATAATAATTATTGCTTTCTAGCTTTCATGTGTGTAACCATGACCATGATCTTCTACACTTGCAGAGAACTTTGTGAGTTTTTCACATGTCCACACAATATATTAGAAACATTAAAATAAGGCCTCCTGTGTGACCCCTTCATGCTGGGTTGGTATAAGGTAAATACCTTTGATGAAACAAAAGCTTTGCCAAGACTCATAATGCCATACCTTTGTTTTCTGTGAAGTTGCGTATACTGAGAATATCATTGAGTTCCTGGTAGTGATTCTGCTTAATATACGTTGTCTTCTCAGGTGTGTCCTGCAGTTGCATAGTGACTTCTTCTAAAGCTTTGTCCAGCTGTTTAAAGGAAAGTTTAACAAGAGTATTAAAGTGGTTTCTTTAAAGAGAAAAGCCAAACATACAAAAAGGTACATATGTATATGCAAAGTTTATTTATAGTTATCCTGATGATAGACTACCGTGTCATGTTTACAAGGTACACACAGACATGGGCCTGGAAAGAAAGATCCCTTGCACATGGCATGATGGAATACACATATAAATCCATTGAATTGGCATATAGAAGAAAAATATAGCCCCATCTATTATGGATGTGTGGATCAATTTGTGTACGAGGGTTGAATGAAAAGTAATGCCTCCACCTCTGTAACTCCTCAACAGATGGCAGTACTGGTATGCGGCGAGTACTGGCTTGTTCAGTAGACTCTCCTCTACAGTTCCATTTTGGTGGGAAGCCTTAGCATTGAATGGTTGTGTTGTTAAAATGCGAAATATGGAACCCTGCGGAGACGATTGGTCAATGCGACTTAAGCAACGTGGAGTCATTGAATTCTTGACAGCAGAAAGTGTCACCCCAAAGGAGATTCATCAGAGAATGCAAGTTGTTTATGGTGATTGTGTTGATGTGAGTACTGTGCATCGTTGGGCGAGTAAGTTTTAAAATGTTGAGGTGACACCTTCTGCTGTCAAGAATGCAATGATTGAATTGATTGACGTAGAGTGTGTTGCAGTAGTCTATTTGGGATGTAACAAGAGCGTGGACCACTGTGGTCAAGTCAAACTTCCCAAGATATGGGTACAGTTGGTGCACAAGTTTTAATTTGTTTTAATTTAAGGTCAACAATATCTGGGGTCCAGATTTGGGAACCACCAATTTAATAGATTCTTTCCAATTTTCAAGGTGAGTGTTACTTTGGACCACTGCACACAGCTTCAGTTTCTGACAGTTACTACAGGAACCAATGTAGAACCTTTTCCTAGGGTTCACCCTCCACATTTTCTTCTCCTCCAACAACAGCAAAATTCTAGCAGCAAAAAAGATGAAATAAGTCACCAAGATGAGTTGGCAGATGGGAGTGAAAGACCCCTCTCCGTGGGTGGGGAAAGCATCTGTTAGAAGTGATAGCTGCTAGAGATACTCAGTGGCTTCTGATCACAGAGGCTGTCTTTATTTGAGGATCCTGCTTAAACTCAGAATAAACAGGTATAATATTTCCATTTTAAGCACCGTCACACTTTGAGTCAAGTCTTCAAAAGGGAATGACATCACCATGGATTCTCTGCACGCTCTTTTATCCTGCGCTGAGAAAGCTGCCTAGGGTCCTGGCAGAGTCTTTCATATCGGTGATGTTCCTGCACACCTCCCTCAAACACTATGTCTTGTGAAAAACATGTCACATTTCTTTTGAATTTTTAAAGGTGCAAAAACTTCTCCAATCTGTTCTGCAACATTCCATATTCTCCTCATAACTTAAAATAGAGGAGTCGTGGAATTAATCTTATTCTCAAAGAGAATAGAACAGAATAGTCTAAAAATTCTCAACATTAACAATCTTTATAATCAGCTCGTGTTTTTTAAGTGATATACTGAATGGGCTCTCAAGAAAAACATCGGTCTGCTGCATAGAAACACCATTTCAGTGTCGGTCTTCTTCCTCGGCTTTACAAAGTGGGACAGGATTCCCGTTGCTTTCAACATCCCAAGTTAGGATACTGTCAAAAAGGCACTTCCAGGATTTGGCTGAATTAATAAACTTGCGGTTTTGTCCAGGTTGAGAAGCAGATCCAAAGACTAGCATGTTTTCTTGGCTTTGAAGGCTTGATTGCTCAGGCGGAAAAGGGCCTTTTATGTGCTTTCGTGTTTATATTTGTTTTCTTTTTAATGATCTGTTTTTAATTGCTTTTAATTTTACTGACAGTTTAATTACATTTTATATTCTTATTTAATCTAAAAGTTTTAGCTGTATCTGTTTAAACATAATAATAATAATAATAATAATAATAATAATAATAATAATATATTTATACCCCGCTACCATCTCCCCAAGGGACTCGGTGTGGCTTACATGAGGCCGAGCCCACAATACATCAGCAAAAAACAACAACAACAGTAATACAAAACAATAAAATACATCTGAGATCTATCACGAGTCATTTGCTTTCATATTTCCCCATGACTGCATTGGCTATTGCTTCGATACCCAACACAAAGAGCTTTGTGCGGCCTCCACTGTTTACATAAGGTATCTTGGGGATAGAGACCACTACTCTATTTCCAGCTATAAATGTCACTCTTGCCTTCCTTCCTGTTGTACTCAGTTGCTTGAGGTACTGTTTTTTCTTCAGAGAGTGGTATGGCAGGATTGTTGGTAGGGCAGTTGGGCATGACTAGCCAGCCCAAATAGGACGGCTTATATAGGCAGCATTTCCATGCCGTTACATGAACAATAACCATTAAACAAACCATTAAAATACCTACAATACATAAGCCATTAATTAAACAATATAAAAACATTTGTTACCAAATAGAATCGTTCCACAGGCAGGGGGCCATCACCGAGAAGGCCCTGTGTCTTGTCCCCACCAGCCGCATATGTGGCCCAATGGAGCTAATTTCATAGAACAGCGTTTCTCAACCTGGGGGGGGGTCACGAGGGAGTATCAGAGGGGTCGCCAAAGACCATCAAAAAAAACAGAATTGTTTTCTGTTGGTCATGGGGGTTCTGTGTGGGAAGTTTGGCCCAATTCTATTGGTGGGGTTCAGAATGCTCTTTGATTGTAGATGAACTATAAATCCCAGCAACCACAACTCCCAAATGTCAATGTCTATTTTCCCCAAACGCTACCAATGTTCACATTCAGGCATATTGAGTATTCATGCCGAGTGTGGTCCAGGTCTATCATGGTTTGAGTCCACAGTGCTCTCTGGATGTAGGTGAACTACAACTCCAAAACTCAAGGTCAGTGCCCACTAAAGCCTTCCAGTATTTTCAGTTGGTCATGGGAGTTCTGTGTGCCAAGTTTGGTTCCATAGTTGGTGGAGTTTAGAATGCTCTTTGGTTGCAGGGGAACTATAAATCCCACCAATTACAACTCCCAAATGACAAATTCAATCCCCTCCCAACCCAACCGGTATTCAAATTTGGGCGTATTGGGTATTTGTGCCAAATGTGGTCCAGTGAATGAAAATAAATCCTGCACATCAGGTATTTACATGACTATTGAGAACAGCAGCGAAATTACAGGTACGAAGTAGCAACGAAAATAATGTTATGATTGGGGGTCACCACAACACGAGGAACTGTATTAAGGGGTCGCAGCATTACGAAGGTTGAGAAACACTCACAGAATCATAGAATCATAGAGTTGGAAGATGCCTTGTGCGTTATCCAGTCCAACCCCCTACCAAGAAGCAGGAAAATAGCATTTAAAGCACAGATGCCATCCAGTCTCTGCTTAAAAGCCTCCACAGAAGGAGCCTCCACCACACTCCAGGGCAGACAGTTCCACTGCTGAACAACTCTCACAGTTAAGAAGTTCTTCCTTTCCTGTAGTTTGAAGCCACTATTCCACATCCTAGTTTCTAGGGCAGCAAAAAACAAGACTGCTCCCTCCTCCCTATGACTTCCCCTCACTTATTTATACATGGCTATCATGTCTCCTCTCAGCTTTTTCTTCTGCAGGCTAAATATACCCAGCTCTTTAAGCTGCTCCTCATAGGGCTTGTTTCCAGGTGACTCCTAGCCTTCACATGTTGGAAGTATCCTGTGAACCCTCATACCCAGCTTTTAGAACTTTAATGGATCTCACACAACAGTGTGGAAACTTCAATCATTCATTCTGTATATCATCCTTCATCAGGTAAAAATGGAGTGCACAATGAAACAGAATCACAGTTCTCATTGGGCTCCATGATCTGAGCAGCAATGTTGTCTTTGCTGTGCACCAGTAAATCCTCTATGGAGACAATTCCCAGTAAAATAGTAAAAGGGTGAAGCAGTGAGTTCCCAGTAAAGATGGTAAAAAGATGAAGTCACTTGCCCTTGTCTGCATTAAGGTAGTGGTGGAAAATATGGAAGCAGTGTGGTGTAATAGTCTGAGCCTCGAACCACACTCTGGAGAGCATGATCCGAATTTCTACTTGGTCATAAAATACCGAGCAACTATGAGCAAGTTATGTTCTCTCGGCCTCAAAAGAAGGCATTTTTGGAATGAAAATTGACAAGAAAGCACTGAGAGGTTTGCCTTAGGACAGTGTTTCTCAACCTGGGGTCGGGACCCCTGGGGGGGGGGGTCACGAGGGGGTGTCAGAGGGAGTAATTAAAGACCATCAGAAAACACAGTATCTTCTGTTGGTCATGGGGGTTCTGTGTGAGAAGTTTGGCCCAATTCTATCGTTGGTGGGATTCAAGGGGCTCTTTGATTGTAGGTGAACTATAAATCCCAGCAACTACAACTCCCAAATGTCATGGTCTATTTTCCCCAAACCTTACCAGTGTTCACATTTGGCCATATTGAGTATTCGTGCCAAGTTTGGTCCAGATCCATCATTATCTGAGTCCATAGTGCTCTCTGGATGTAGGTGAACTACAACTTTAAAACTCAAGGTCAATGCCCACTAAATCTTTCCAGTGTTTTCTGTTGGTCATGGGAGTTCTGTGTGGCAAGTTTGGTTCAATTCCATTGTTGGTGGAGTTCATAATGCTCTTTGATTGTAGGTGAACTATAAATCCCAGCAACTACAACTTCCAAATGACAAAATCAACTCCCCCCCAACCCCACTAGTATTAAAATTTGGTCGTATCGGATATTTGTGCCAAATTGGGTCCAGTGAATGAAAATACATCCTGCATATCGGATATTTACATTACGATTCATAACAGTAGCAAAAATACAGTTATGAAGTAGCAACAAAAATAATTCTATGGTTGGGGGTCACCACAACATGAGGAACTGTAATAAGGGGTCGCGGCATTAGGAAGATTGAGAAACACTGCCTTAGGATAAACATATCTCAGAAATGACTTGAAGACACCCAACTGAAAAGGTTGAAAAAT